CTTCTTCTTTCCGCCTTACTTTATTCCCCATTTGGTCTTATATTCTTCTTCAGCCCCCTTAGGCTGTTTACATTCAGGGGGTCCACGGACCTCCTTTTTACGTTGTTATGATGACATTTGGAACTCATACCCATGGATTTGCTCCATTTTATTCATGTCGAGCTGTCTATTTACTGCCTCTTGTCAGGATACTCTGAACTAAGAATGGACTCTTGTCTTCAATTGATTGATCTGAATGTCGGGCAGGGAGAAATGCCTGGTGGGATGATCGTAGACTGGATTAGAGCTCATCGTCGAGCCGAGAATATAAACTATGACAACAATCTATACTGGTCTCGGCGTCTAAGCTTAAGCTTACACAACATTACCAGGAGAAATTAGAAAAGGAAGTTGTCGCGTAAGGTATACACAGATAGACAATCCGCAAAGGAGGCTACTCCTCGATCTGGGCCTAGCAATCGCAGTTCATCGGCGGCGCATCTCGACCAACTTCCCAACCTCTTCGATCCATTTCTGAGAGAACTCCTCCTCGGTGAACCGCAGAGCGGACTTGCGGGCGCGCTGGCGCATCGCGACTTTCTCCTCCGCCGGCAGGGCCAGGGCGGCCTCGAACGCGGCAGCAAATTCGTCCTCGGTGGAGGCGCGGAAGCCTGTCGCCCCGTCGCCGAGGTCGATGACAATGTCCTCGCGCGGGCCGCCGGAGTCGTGGACGACGCTGATCAGACCTGCGGCCTGGTACTCGACGACGCATATGCCAAAGTGCTCGTTCCACATGGCGTTAACACCGACTGAGGCGGACCGCAGATGCGACAGGATGGTCGGCCAGCTCGCGTCGCAGATGAAGGTGGTGTGGTCGCGGATGCGGAGCTCATGGGCCAGCAGGCGGAGGTTATAGATGTGCGTTTCGTCGGGGCTGGATTGACGGACGGAACCGATGAGGACCAGTTTGGGCTGGGGGAGGGAGGCCGACGTGGGGTTCTTCTTCCGCTCGCTGAGGAAGCGGGCGAACGAGCGCAGGACCAGCGGGTGGTTTTTCTCGGGCCGGAATTGAGCGATATAAAGGATGATGGGTTCCCGGCTGCGCTCTGAGTCCTCGTCGACTGTGATGGTCGACTCGATCTCTGACACTGCCGTGGGTGGAAAGATGACAATGGGCTCTTTGAAAGTCCTGCGTGTCCGTGCGGGGCCCCAGATGGTCCGGATATGGGCCGATGTCCAGGAAGAGTTACACATGACAACGTCAACATGACCTCCAACCCAACCGTAGAGACGGGCAAATGCCAGCCAGTACTTGCGCTTGACCTGGCCCTTGAACCCCTTGCCCGCACCCGCATTGACCCCTTTTAGGCCAGTGCTGTCATCCAGGGATTGAAGCATGTCGGTCGAGATGGTAGGATAGTGGACGTATGCACCTGTAGGGACAGAGGGGAAAAGCATCTTGCAGAATGCAAGGGTGAATGCGTAGCCCATGGTGTCGATGAACACATCCGGAACGAGCAGGTTGAAGGCGTCATAGGCTACCACCAGAGACCCGAGAGACTGTCCCAGAAGCGTCATGTACGGATACATGCTGCTCAGAACATATTTACGTGTAGTCAAATAGAGCAGAACAACAGTGGGCGCATGAAGTTGAATATTGAAGCGGTTCTGCAGGGTTGAGTCAGCGAGTCCTTCGTACACAGACCGGCTAGACTCACCTCTACTCTCTCCAGCATGGCCGTCTTGTTGACCTCGTGGTCACCAGTATATATAGCGCAGATTGCCTTCGGCCATCGCCGTTGCGTTGCTCTTACAGCTTCCCAAAGAACACGTTCTCCTCCTCCGCCAGCGTTACTAAGTCGACAATTCAAGATCGTTAGCCAATGCTGGTGCCTGGTGAAGCTTTATGAGATTCCTCCTACCAGAAGGGGTGAAAGAAACCGACAATGCCCTCCCAGTCTGCAGCTTCTGAACCTTTCTTGCCGCTATTCCCGCCTTTCTTACTGGGGCCAGCTGTCCCCGAGCTGGAACTCGAGCTATCAACCTTCTCCCAGTCCTCATCCTCTCCCCTCGGAGACGACTTGGATTGCTTTACCAGCTGTTCCTCCTCATCTGCTCGAACTCTCGAGATCAGAAACTCCCTGCGAGACCGTGTTCTCTTCTGAATGACCCATCCGACACCACGGAGCACGAAGCGGAGAACCCCCAAGGGGAGCTGGGGAAGGAGGACGCAGGTCGCAAGGAGGGCGAGAAGTGTGAGGAATGTCTTTAACAGAAAAAGCATCATGATCAACTCGAGACAAAAGACATAGCCGATGGGGTTTTCCTGTAGATCGGTGCGTCGAGGACAGAAGATAATGAATGGGTGGGATGTCCGGCTGACGACTGCCGACTGATCATATTCGGCTCAAAATAGCAGCTGTATTATTTGGCAGTTTCCTATCGATAGTAGCTGGCGATAACAACACATGACGATAACACCTGATGATAACAGCAGATCGTGTATGTAATGTATGTAATGTTCTGTCTTGTTCGGTTTGATACTATACTGTCAGGTATCGCAGCTCAAAACGCCACGTGATATGCTCCCTGGAGCTTTTGGAGCATCACTTTGTTTTTTCTGAGTGTAGACAAGCAGAACCGTACTTGCACTGCTCCATTGCAAGTGGATATTAATGTCATCTCATTCTGTTTCCTCAGAATAAATATTTTATTTCTTGTCGCTCATTAACTCTGTCTTGATTCCCTCTTTCAGCAATTGAGCTGTCCATACGATGAGACCGCTTCGTCCTTCGCTCCGTTCGCCGCATACTGCCGGCAAACGGGTAGCCCAGCAAATACGGCATTTCCACGCCACGCGGCCATCTCCTTTTATTAATGAAGTGCTGAGCGTTTCGTCTGGCTTCATTCATGCCGTTCATTCGATCAGTGGCCTTCCATGGGCCTTGTCCATCCCATTGACCGCCTTGATCGTCCGAACCACCGTTGCGATGCCGCTGCAGATGTACACCAAAATCCAAGCACGCAAGCAGCGGGACCTAGCTCCGCTACTTCACTCATGGAGGAAACATTTTCAAGCACAAATCAAAAAGCGTGTTGATGCCGAGAATCACAACCCAATCCTCCCGAGAGAGGCAATCCGAGAGTTGGCGACAAAGATCAAGGCGAAGCGGAAGGAACTGCACAAGCGATGGAACGTGCCCCGATTCTGGAAGCCTGTCAGCTTCCTGCAGATACCGATATGGATTTCAGTTATGGAGAGTCTCCGCGCCATGTCTGGGAACAACAAGGGTCTCGTACCGTACCTCCTCTCCCTGGTTGAACCCTCCTCCGCAGAGCCAAGCACTGCGGTCCACCTGGCGGTTGAGCCGTCGCTGGCCACTGAAGGAGCCCTCTGGTTCCCCGACCTCTTGGCTGGAGACTCGACGGGCATTCTTCCAGCTGCGCTCACTCTGTCAATCATACTCAATATTCGTGCTGGGTGGAAGGCTCCTGCTCTATCGGACATGGCTGACTTACCGCGGATCGAGATTGCAAAGAACCTGACTGTGCGTGGTATCAGGGTACTGGTCCAGGCGCTTGCCTTGAATATCGGCGTTTCGTCCTATCTGTACGAAATGCCTTCTGCGCTCATGATCTACTGGATAAGCAGTACGAACATTGCTACTTTACAAACTTTCTTGCTGGAGAGGTACATGTTGTCAAAGCCGCTCCTTGAGCCCTGGAGACAGATTCATATTGGCTATCCTCAACTAGGTGAAAAGACGTCTTCGTTGAAAAAATGATCAAGATTGCACGCCAGGGGAGCGCAGATGGCCAACCAGCTATGATGAACGAAATGGAGAACACCGATGAGACCAAGCGTGCAAGAATGAGCTCACCAGTGATAGGCTGAAGAAGAGCTAAGGCAGAGACAACCTTTCAGGGCCACACGGGTCAAAATGGCTTTCCGCTCGTGCTGATGCCGCCTTAGCGACGCTCAGGTATGTGGCACTTGCTTCCTATGACTAGACTCAAGACACGCTCTACAGAGGCGGCGGAGCCCCGTGCAGGTCGGTGTACGTGCCGCTTGTGTAGTCAAAGAAGCGATAGTTTGGAATCTGGCGAGGGACCCCAGTTGCTCGTCGAGTGCGGGCCCAGCCCTGGCCCCATTCCTGTGCCACTATATCGCGCTCTCCCCAATCAAGCTCTTGAGGGCTCCTGTCGTCCACACTGAAGAATGGGTCAGGGTCATGTCCAAGGCCAGATAGCCACTTCAAAATGATTTCCTCGCGTGTCATTGGACCTTCAGGTGCAGCAGATTCAACTGGGACCCCACCTCTATCTTCGGATACAGTGTCAGTCTCCACTGGGACTTGAACATTCTCGTTCTCAGTCGCTGGGTTGACTCCGTCCGGGATTGGGAATCCCTTATTCTCCTTTTCGGTGACATCGTCGTGAAGGTCAATCCCGAGTCCATGATTGTTGAGGTCTTGGACATTTTCGTTGCCAGCTCCAGCGTCTTTGGCTGGTGATTGTGCGTTCTCAGACTTGTCCTCGGGGGTCACAAGAGCAAGATGCTCGATTCCAGCGTTGTATGTGACCCAAAAGCTGAGGTACTCATCCTCCTCCAATCTGAGATCTTCCATGTTGGTACTGCTCTTTAAGAGAAATGCTCCCCGAATCAGCCGTGGACTCAAAGCTCCATTAGTCAGGCTATGACTTACCCGGCTGGACGGTTGAACGCTGCTCTGACTTCGAATGGCAAATGCCGCAGACTTGAAGGAACGATCTTATTGGAATTATCAACCGGCAAGATCACAGAACAGGACACTCAGTCAAGAGACGAAACACAACTGGGCTCTTTCAAAATTTTCGAGCTGAGTTGTAGTATTGTGAGCAATTCCAAAACACAAGGGGATCTCGACTTGCTTCTTCCAAAAAGCACTATCAGCTGGACAAGGTGTCTGGAAGAGAAAAGACTCCGAGGTAGAGAAAGAAAGAGGGATAGGGACAGAACATGAATACAAAGGGTGTGAGAGGTGTGCGGCAAAAGGTCTAGGAAGCTATACACTGTGCTTGCAGAAACTTGCTCGCTCCCTTTCCTAAAAGGGTCGTGATTGACGCTACCTGAGACGACACCGTTCTCTGTATGATGTCGTTGCAGAGTAGAATAGTGCTCTCTCTCTTGTATCTACTAAAAGAAGACGTCTAAAATTCACTATAATCACATTCCTACTCCCTGAAGCACCTTTAGCCATCTACAGATCAGTCTGCATACACCAACAGGATACCCTAACAGCCATACATCTGAATACATCTAAGGAAACGCCTTCTGCAGCAGTCTAGAGACCAGCACCTTAAGTATAGTCCTGAACTCTCTTCCTGGGCAAAGATGGACGATACCTTGACTCCCTCAGGTCTATACTCACTGAGGTGTTTCAGGGCATGCCTCCTCACGTGGCTTCACTGTTCCCCAGGTCCACGTGGGTCCACGTGACTCATAGTACATGGCCTCGCTGCCACCCTCATAGTAAACTCCCTAGTGAATTTTTCTCTAAATGTCATTTTCTGGCTTTTAACTTTTTTTAACCTATCCATGGATCTTATTAGCGAAATGGTTTTCAATGCGTGTTAGGACTTATATTCATTCTTGATCAAAGGTACATGGAGCAGGGTACTCCAAGACCAGAACCATTTCCTTAAGATTGCAAATCTACCATGTTGAACAGTTTACGAGTATTGCCACTGCAGTAGTATCACGAACGCCAGACCCAAGAACCACGCCAGCATATGCACTGGAAAATAACTCGGCCAAACCCAAGAGAGTCCCTTGAGAGTTTCATCCGATGGTATCCTCCCCAGAAACAAACAGTAGAAAGTGAAGGCCACGTAGAAGATAGTGGCGTCCCTGCGCTAGAGGAAAATGTAAATCGGATGCTACGATGCTACTGGTTCGACAAGGTATCGATGCTATCATAGCTTGGCCTTCTGGTTTTCCTCCGATGCGCTGGCTTCCTGGTTGACGGTGATGGTCCGGTTGTCGGGGCCGTCACCGAAGAAGATGACCTCGACGGTAATGTCATCGCTGGTGAATTTGTCAGTTCATTTTCAAAGATAGAGATTGTGGCGCAAAGCTCAAGGGATAATGGAGTATTGCTTACCGGTATCTGCGGGAGTACGGACTAGGAAGCGTGAGCAAAGCGCAAACCATGTCCCTGTCCTTGCCACCCATCGCGTTGCGCACGAGATGAGTTGCTGCGTTCTTATCTTCCACGACAAAACGACTGGCGACGCCCGAAATGTCGTACTGCTGCTGACGGATCGGACGGCGCTGGCCTTCGGTGGTCGTTTCCTTGGGTGCCTCTACGGGCAGATGCTTGTCGTCCAAGCCAAACCAGCTCTGCAGCCACGCCTTATTAGTTCCGTTGCTGCCAGCCCGCTGCTGGTCAACCCATTGGCCCACAAGGCCAACGACTTCTTCATTGCTCAGCATTTCCCAGAGGCCGTCCGTAGCCATGACGACAAAGTCACCCTTACTAGGCTCAATCTTCGTGGTCGTGATGACAGGTTCGGCGGTGACATAAGGAGGAGTCTTCAAAAGGGGATGAGGGGTCCTTCCGAAAAACTGCTTCTTGATTTTCTCCTGGGTCTCCTTGCTCCACTTGTAGAATGCATCTCCAAAGGAACGGCTAGGTTCCAGTTGGCCGAGAATTCTTCCGTTACGCACGACGTTCGGTTCGCCGGGATGCTCGTCCCGCAGACGCTTCATCTCTGAAGGGGTGCCGCCAGTCTGGTCCTCAGAAAGTGGTGTTGCCGTCCATTTTCCGGTAGGTCCCCGGCGGCCAAGAACAGCTCTTGAGTCACCAGCACAGGCAACCTTGAGGTCTTTGGACTGCGAGTCATAGAATGCAAGCAGAGCACAGGATCCGGAGAGAGCGGGGGCAAGCAGCTCGGCAGCGGCTCGGCGGGAGTTGGATTTGAGAACCTTATCGACACTACTATGCACGATATCGTTATCAAGGCGGACAAATGCTTGCTTGATTGCCGCGTCCACGGCTTCGGATGATGGGCTAATAAGCGAAGGATTGGTGGCTGCAGCCTTGTAGGTCGTGTTCAGCTCCCGGGCCACGTATGAAATCAGAACATTGCGCAGTTTGGCCGAGGTTGTCCATCCCCTAGCTCAGACGTTAGAACTTGCAGGTATGGTTTCTTAAAATGCAGGCTTACGAATGACCATCAAATACAGCCCAGAACATCCAATCACTAGTCGACTCGCCTTCGTTCGCCGCAGCTACGGAGGAAGGCACTTCGACAATCTTCTCTGCATGATCATCCTCGATCGGCGAGTTGCTCGGAACCTGGACGACATCGTATCGCACGACACCTTTGCCCCGGTTCACCATAAAAGACTGCTCATTCCTCCTCAACTTCTGTGTCGCCTGTTCAGGCGTCAACATCTCCAGAATTCGGCGGTCGGAATCGTCAGTCTGCTTGTAAAGAGGCTGGTCTCCAGATAGTGTTGCCGTGTAGAACTGATCATTATCCACAAGGATCGCACGTCTTGTAGATTCCGCGGATTCCTCAGCGTGCGCTCCTGAAGATGCGTCTGTAGCTATCGACCGTGTCTGCGATGGGAACGTCACAGGGCTCTGCTGAGAGTTGCTACCCTGATAAGCGTACCAAGCGCCAGATGCGACAACCGTCGATATCACCGCAACAGAAAAGTTTCGGAGATGCATCGATGACTGCAAGGTTGCTGGAATGAAGGAGGGATGTCGTCCACGGGAGGAGAGCCGGAGACCTAGAGGCTGATTATGGGAGAAAGACACAGCGCACGGTTTCCTAGCGCCGACCTTCCATACTGGTACACGACGAGCAGTACGGAAAGTCTGTAGGGCCAGGCGACGCATTGAACTTGCGGTAACGTTCAGACAATTGAGAAACCGTAGAATCCAGCGAGGCTGGTACGGAAAAGGAGAATGGTATTGTTCGCTGTTCGCCCTGACCAGAAACATGGAGAGCGGTCCCAGGCATCAAGGCATTCCGGGAGATGATAACGTCATGTGATAGATAACGGATCGTTTGGTAATATTGAACGAACTTGGTAAGGTACCGTACAGTAATCTATGGAGTCCCGCACTAAGCCTAAGCGGGCTGTGTCGTCATGTCTGCGGTCTTCGTTTGTTCTCCAAATATCTGTCAGAAACAGATCATTTGAGGATTGATCGCCATCAAACCATTATAAGGTTAGATATAACTGACATAGAGTCACGTCGTCCTCCGCAACTCGATCCTGAATGTCCTCCCGAGCGATTCGCAAGCTGCAGAAGCTTCGCGAACAAGAATTGCAACAAGCCCACCTACAAGCGGAGCAAGATAACGATGAGTCGGATGAGTACGAGCCAGTAATCCGGCCCTCAAGGCCGAAGCTGAATGCTTTTGATCTCCTCAACGCTGGTGACGATGAGGATGAGGAACGCGAGTCTGATCACGATATCGAAGAGACGGTGACTCAGCCGCCGGAAGATGTCCCTGCCCGCGCAAAATCCGCAGATTCTAGTAAGAAGAAGAAAAAGAAGAACAAGAAGAAGAAGGCGGCAGTGGCAAAGGTCACGGCCACAGGAGGAGCTCCCGGTGCCAAATCAGATGACGAGCTGGACGAGATCGATCGAGCTCTGAAGGAACTAGCTGTTGAATCCAAGGGTACTGACAGTCAAAAGGCTGCAGCTGTGTCCCCAGAGAATGTCCGCTGCGCATCATTTCTCAAGACACCAGAGGAGCTGCTCTCTATTGAGCCTAAATTTCTCAACGCCATGAATGAGATGCGAAGATTGTTTGGGAATGTCGTATTGGAGAGTTTCGACGAAGAATCTGGGACAGGTCGCAGGAGAGACAGAAATACGGAAATGGTTGATCTGGGTCGCGCTTTGACTGGTAGGTATAGTCCTGCCAGCAAAGGTCTAAGTCTAGCAGGGACTACGCAGCGGCGGAATGTTCTCATGCAGGGAAAAGACGAGTGGCCGCGCGCTCCCAGTGGTGGTTTGGGAATGGAGCTGGTAGAAAAACTACCCACTGGAGCTACGAAATACCAGATTGTCCACAACTCTGCGTATACAGACGTGCAAAGGCAATTTGATATGTGCGTCGAGTCTATGGATCCGCAACGAATGATACACCTCTTGCAGTATAACCCGTACCACATCTCTACTCTCCTTCAAGTGTCCGAGATAGCAAAACATCAGGGCGATCATGCCGTTTCCGCCGATCTCCTCGAGCGAGCACTGTTCAATATCGGGCGCTCAGCTCACTCGTCGTTTGGCAATCGCTTAAAGGAAGGTCAGGCAAAACTTGACTTTGTCCACATGGCAAATCGTGAGCTATGGCTTGTGGGTTGGAGGTATATTGCGAATCTGGGGATGAAAGGAACATGGAGAACAGCATATGAATGGGCTAAGCTACTGTTGAGCCTGAATGATGACGACCCATATTGCATCAGGCTACTGATCGACCATCTGGCGCTCCGGGGCAGAGAATACTCGCACTTTGTCGATTTGTGCACTCAAACTAGACTGACTGAGGACTGGGCGCTATTGCCCAATATCCAATGCTCACTCGCACTGGCATATCTTCGGTTGAACAAACCAAAGGAATGCCGCGAGCAGCTGCGTCGTGCCATGTTGAGATATCCATGGGTATTCTGTAAGCTTGCGCAGGAGTTGGATATTCAACCCATGCCCAAACGCATATGGGGCAAGATGCCTCCGACGGACGCCCACGAGTTGCTCACTGAGCTCTACATTGCCAGAGCCAAGGACCTCTGGAATACTCCTGAAGCGGTCTCCCTGATTGTGGAAATTGCCGACACTCTTCCAGATGAAGAAGAGCCCATCGAACCTCCGGAAATTACTCTAGACATTGCACGCCATGTCGTCCTCTCGGATATTCCCCGCGTGACAACACATTTGCCGGGACGATTTGTATCGGGGCGAATTTCAGCATCTGATCCTCTCCCGCCTTACGACTCTGAGGCTCATCGGCAGCAATCGGACCCAACGCCATCCTACTTGGCGCAGATGCCAGAAGTAGGCCGACCACAATGGCTTCGCGATCTGCTAGACCAGCTGAACAACGGAGCGCTTCATTTTCCTCGATTCCGCGGGGGCGACAATGAAGAGATCCGCGATAATGACATATCCGCCAACGATCGGGAAGAAGCTGGTGGCGAGCGCCAACATCCTATGGCCGGCCAGGGAGCATCAGTAGAGCAGTGGCTTCTGGGAGATGGTATGCAGAGCTTGCAAGCCTTTTTGAATCAGTACGGAGTCGATCGTGGTAACTGGGGTGATGTGGTCGACTACTCTCCCTTGACGGAGTATCTGGACGGTCTCGATGCTGTGCAGCCAGATGAGGCACGATACGAGTTACTTCATGGGCGAATCAGAGAGATCATGGGTGATATGGTTGTTGATATGCTCGAGAATGAGCTTGAACTTCAGCAGTATGACGACGAGGACGAAGTCTGATCATAGTTCCTGGTCTCGGTCAACTTGGTTGTATATACCCTGTATAGCATTAAAAGTCGGTCGACTTCTCCCGGCCTGCAATATATTGATTGATCATCTGTCAAAGCAAGGTCGCTATTATGTTGTAGTATGCAGTCATTCTGCGGATATGTTCGTCCAGATATATACTTCTGCAGCGATAAGACTCAGCACTACTGTCTACATATATGTGCACCACGATGTGACTAAAACATGCTAATACGAACCACAGGAGCGGTCCCTCCAACTATAAGGTATACTCTCGAGGTTACATCTCATAGGATACAGAATGACTTCAATTTCCATAGTGATAATAGAACGCTTTACTGACAGGCAGCCAATCCCAGTGCTCGCTTAGTCACAATCTCTTATCGGATGCGGCCACCAAACGGGATTTAGTACTCCGTAGAGAGAGTGCTAAGAGCTGCTATTAATATAGAATCGCATCAAGGAAAATCTTCATTCTTCGCTTTGAAAACTCTTCTTGTTTCAAATAGCCGAAAGCCGAAAGCTGGATGTACTTGGACTAGTGACTAGACTCGTTCCGACTGAGACGGCGTCGATTGGCACTCAAAGTTTTCCGAGCTTGCTCTGTGTCATTGATTGTTCCTTCACTTGCTTTCTTTTCTGCAATCGCAGGGCTCGGGTCGCAGAATCGTAATGTCCCTCCTACTTGCGCTGGGAGATATCCCTGCGGGAAACTCTGTCCCGATCACACCGCGTGAAGCTGCCTCTGGTCTTCTGGGCTCTATCTCCTTGACCTGTTGGTTTTTCTTACTGGTATGGCTCGCAGCAACCTGGTTATCGCGATCATCCTTTCGCACAAGACAAACAAGAGTTCAATGCTGATCGCAACCCCCGTGCAGGTTCCCCAACTCATTGAAAACTACTGGAATGGCAATGCTGAAGCCATCTCGCTCCTCTTTCTCTTCGTCTGGTTCATTGGCGATATCACCAACCTGATCGGAGGCGCTTGGGCCGGTCTCGTCCCCGTCATTGTGGCCATTGCGGTCTATTTTTGTATCGCGGACGGTGTGCTCATCGCGCAATGTCTGTACTACAAGACCCGCAATGCTCGTCGCGAGAGTTTGCTTCGTCGTCGGCGCTCCTCCTCCGTTACCCCCGACCCGACCACCCCTTTGCTCGGCCGTCGATTCAGCGACACCCTAGAACGGGGTCCGGCTTCGCGACGCCGATCTATGACGTCGCAGCGTAGCGGGCGGGGCAGCCACGGTCACCCCGACGATGCTCTAGCCAATATCATCGAGGAGAACGAGGTTGGCCGGAGCGCTTGGGTGAAGAACTTCAGCAGTGTCCTGGCAATCTGCGTCATCGGCATGGCCGGTTGGACGGTCGCCTGGCAGACCGGGGTCTGGCACCCAGCTCCGAAGGAGCGTAATGGAGGCGTGGATACGGCAGCTGGCGCGCAAGTGCTGGGATATATCAGTGCCGTTTGTTACCTGGGGTGAGTGTGCCTTCGGACGGAAATGGAGCTGAACTGACGGTAGGCTTCTAGTGCGCGGCTTCCTCAGATCTACAAGAACTATTGCGACAAGTCATGCGAAGGTATGTGCTTTGACCTTCAAGACAATTCATACAAGAAAGCTCCCTTTTTACTAACCTTTTCATAAGGACTTTCATTGCTTTTCTTCATCCTCTCTTTGATGGGCAATCTTACCTATGGCGCTGGCGTAAGTAGAAATCTACTACCCATCATACCTCACCCCCGGCCTAACCATTCGCAGATTCTCTGCCATTCAACGGATAAGAATTACGTCGTGACAAACCTACCCTGGCTAATTGGCTCTTTGGGCACGATGTTTGAGGATGTGGTCATTTTCATACAATTTCGCCTTTACGCCGAGCAGAGTCCTCAGCTCACGACTGCAGTGTCGTGATATCTCGCTCTTCGCTGCAGCATACGACTTTATGGCTTAGCAGCGGCTGATGTACTATCCTAAGTATGCTCCTTTTTTATATATTGTCATGTCCTGTGCTGTATTCCGACAAAAGTTCTGTTGTTTTTCTTTTCTTTTCGCTCCAGGGGTGACGGAGTATGTTCTGCAGGTTTGGCACGGCGTTGGTGGTTCGGTTGACTGGAAGATTGCTAGAACGGTGTATTTCAAACAACTTATACGTTGTATACTGCGCGAAACATGAGGACACAGGGATTTACGAGGTGTATACAATGGGACAATTGCAGCAGAAGGAATCCTTTGTTCATGGTCGCATGACAGACATAGCATGAGAACTGGGCAACTATGCTAGAAAAGTATCTAGCATCAAGTAAATGGCAAAAACTTTTTCTCAGAACCTATTATGATTCTAACCGAGGGCGGCCACAACGATCTCGCCCTCGGCAGATATGGATATGCCAATTCTCCCTTTACTTGACGGCCCGAAATCCTAGCGTCATCCGTACCGGTACCTCTGTCACGACGGAACCCATCATGCAAGCAAAGCGCCCAGTCCCACCAGATGTCCTCGTCCGTTTGATTCTTCTTTTTTTTCCCTTTTTGGTCTTCGTGCAGTCGCGTTGTATCGGGTACAAGAGATTCGAGTGATGTAAGGAGATAGGAGAGAAACGAGGAAAAAAAAAGAAAACAGAACGTCGAACGGATTAGGACGTTTAGTCGAACAGACCGAAGCCCATGTCCTCGTCGGACTCCTCCTTCTCTGTACAAACGATCAGTGTTCCTGTTCCCAAAGCCCAGTCTCACAAGTATCGAGTCTTTACCTTCTTCCTTCTTCTCCTCAGCAGCAGCCTCGGCGGGAGCGGCAGCACCGGCAGCAGCACCGCCAACGGCAGCGGGGGCAGCAGCACCACCGGAGCCGACGTTGGTCAGGAGGTCCTTGATGTCCTTGCCCTCAAGAGCCTGAGAAAAAAGAAGTCACAGCGTAAGCGTTTGTCCAGATCGCGGGCCCAATTTTTCGTTCCATTGTCACATAAGATTGTTGCGAAAAGGTGGTGCAGTATTTACCTTGGCGAAGAGGGAAGTCCAGATGGGCTCAACATCGGCGACCTTAGCAGCACCGAGGAGGGTCTGGATCTTGTCGGCCTATAATCGCAGAAAAACCATGAATCAGCCCAGTTCCTTGTTTGCCTTGCAGTTTCGTAGCCGTTTCTGAATTTTTCCTCCTCTTTCCGTGCAATCCATCCGAAGTTGTTTGCCAATTCCATGCCGCAGATAATTCGAGAAATTCATGGACCAATACGTACGGTGATCTCGACGCCATCATCGGCGAGGATGAGGGCGGCGTAGGAGCAAGCGAGCTCGGCAGTAGACATGGTGGTCGACGGGTTGGACTTGACAGGGAGTCTCGAGAGGGATGGGGATAGGAGGAGAGAGGAAGAGGAAGAGGAAGACGGAGACTTTTTTTTCTACTGTCTTGTCGATGGAGATGGTCGGGCTGGCACTTGTTCCCAGAGCGGAAGTTGTGTGTTTGGTGCAAAAGCCCTCGCTTAGGGCTGTCCCGATCGGGATTAGTCCCAAAGCTTTCCCGTGATTCTGCCCTAGTCCCAATGGGGAAAGGATGATGCCATCATAGAAACACCCCTCCTCATTCCGACAGCTTCCAATCTACTAGTACCTAGAGGGGTTATCGGATGTCTGTACTGGTGTCTACTCCACACGGCCGACTCTTCTTTTGACTTGGTGCATAATTTTCGGATTCTGTACCACTAACCGACCTTCTTATATCGGTTCGACATTTCCATTCTTTTTTCTCTCTCCTATTGGCATCATGGACTCTCCCGCGGTCCCCGTCCCCTTCGACCCGCAGGAGCAGCCGATTTTGGAGCGTCTTCTCCGCACCAGAGATGCACTCTTGCTGCTAAAACAAGACAAGTCGTCCTATATCAAATCTCGCGATGTGCTCCCACTATACGAGGAAGTGATCTCAGAGGTGGAAAAGCTCAATGCTGTGCGGAAGGAACAAGACCGCCGGCTGATACACAACCGACGTTAGCATCTGAGTGGGCCTTGCGCGTAATATAGTCGGTCTGGCGAAAGATGGGCTAACGATTGCGATCTTTTTGATCGATTCTTTCTAGTCGACTACGTACTCGACGACTGCTTTCAATTGATCTCGTTACTGTTCTTGACCGTGGGAAGGAACAATGAGGCTCCCGCAGTGTATGTTTCCTGAGTCGCCTGTGGATTGTCGTGTGTTTGTCTGAACTAACATTACCTGACGATAGATACTCGCTTGCAACAACTGTCAAGGTATAGCGTTCCTTTTTGAGCTGTCTCCGCCATACAATTCTGTTTCCTGACCTGTTCGATTAGCGCCTGCTTGACCACCTCGAAGAGGCTGGCTTTTACAGCTCAAAAGATCTCAGCTCGATCACCAAGACCCTGACCAACATGAAGGAGACAGTCGAGCGTGGTCGAGACGCATATTCCCCAGCCTTGATGACGCTCTTGGAAAGTCGACTTGAACAGTGTCAATTGAAGTTGGATAAGTTGCGGAGTGGCCTTGAATCCATGAACCCTGAGCTAGCACCCATCCACGAGACTCTCGTTTCAGTCTTGCGGTCGACAGCGGCAGCTAATACTCGATCAAAGGTAGTCCCTGAAATTTGGGGTGTCTTTTGGAGGGAATGAGTGGACAAGCTAATGGTGCGTGGTTTCTAGTTCTCCGCAACGGAAGTGATCAATCTTCGGAAGCAGTTGACGAAAATCCAAGACACAATGAAGGACGGTTACTTCGTTGGAGCAGATGGCAGGCCCCTAGAAGGGCAAGACGGGGTCAAGCAACTGCTGGACCGGTGCTGGCGTTGGACCGAGATTGTGCTGGAACGGTCAGACCGCCCATTCCTCTGCCTAGGATCTCGCCATGGCGGGTAGTGACCGAGTGACTGACTGTTTGTCTGATAGAGAGGGAAAGATTGACGAGCGCTTCCGCGACCAATACGAACGACTGCTGGAGATTCGTAACCAGCTGGACCGACTCTCCGTAACTCAAGCCTGGTCTCTTCGGGAGACCGACCTTTTCGGATATCAGCGGAAACTCGACCGTATTGATGAAGCTCGGGTCGATGGAAATTTTGTGGATGCTGAAGGGCAGCCGGCAGATCTCCATGCGCAGCGTGTAAGGATTAAGCACGCTGAAACTCCTGATGAGGCTTGTCGCTGATTGCTGGTAGACATTACTATACCTCATTCGGAGGAGCTACGCCTATATCTACGCACTTTTGATCTCTTCGGAACCCGTATCTGAGGCTTTGTTGCCAGTCTACAATCAGCTGCAGACCTTGCGACGATGTCTCCTGGAAGTCAAAGAGTCGGGAGGTGTCTCGAATTCTCGAGAATTGTACCCATACAGTATGAAGGTCAGTAACCTCCAGCTTCCCTGCAAGGCACAGGAGTTGACATCGCACAGCTCAACTCCATTGACAACATGCGAGTTGACGGCAAATTCTACATGGGAAACGACATTCCCGAAGGACAGGGCAGCGTTAATGCGCTGCTAGCTGAATGCTATGATATCGTATGGGAGCTGCGGGCGGCTGTACCTGAAGAGGAAGAGAGAAACAGCGCTTAATTCTCTGCTGATGATACTCCTTGTATCTTGCACCCTTCTTTCATGTACCAACGGGTTGAAATTTGGTTCTCTCTTCAATGTTTGCGATTTTCTCCTGAGATTTTAGTTCAGGCGTTTGTCTGGGCGCTTTTGGGATGATATGGCTCTTTAACAGAAATGATTTGTCACCATTCTGCAATCTTGATTAGAGTAGCTGATATGAGTCGTAACACTACGAATCTTCTCTTCAAATACCTAATATCTACCTAGCTAGACAGATACCACTACGTTGGATGCCTAAGATACCTTAATACCTGGGTGATACCTTACCTATCTACGGGTGTGACAAGAACGTAACGTATTGTAAGATCTATGCCAGGCCCGGCATCGGCGTACTCATAACCAATCAGATTGCGGCTAAATAAGTAAGCCGAAAAGCAGCAAAAAAAAGGGCATTAAATATTGCCATCTCCCGAGCGTTGTCTTCTTTCTCCGCAATCCACACTTCCACAGGCCGTCAAGATGGTGAGGCAGCTTGTCTGGCAGCGGGCTACCGCCTCTCGCAGGGTAGGTTTTCCCCGTGCTTTGTCAATGGCTACTGGGTGCAATTTAAGGCTAGAGACAATTGTCTTCTCTCCCCTACTATGACTAACTCCACTGCCCCATAGCTGGCCCCGAAATGCCTCTCCCCGCAACAATTGTTCGCACGACGTGGTCTAGCCACTGAGGCATCGGCCGCACGCATGCCGCCTTACCCTAAGATTGTGCGGAATCTCGAGCAGGTTCGGAAGGTGTTGGGATCCTCGCGTGCCCTCACCCTGGCGGAGAAGATCCTCTACGCCCACCTGGACAACGCGGAGGAGTCCCTGTTGACGGGCACTAACAATGGAAAAGACATTCGGGGCAAGGCCAACCTGAAGTTGAAGCCGGACCGAGTGGCGATGCAGGATGCGTCGGCCCAGATGGCGTTGTTGCAGTTCATGTCCTGTGGCCTGCCGTCAACCGCGGTGCCCGCCAGTATCCACTGCGACCATATGATTGTGGGTGAGCGTGGCGCGGACACCGATCTGCCTGCCTCTATTGAGGGTAACCGGGAAGTGTTTGACTTCCTTGAGAGCGCCGCTAAGCGCTACGGTATTGAGTTTTGGCCCCCCGGTGCGGGTATCATCCACCAGAGTGTGCTGGAGAACTACGCGGCTCCTGGTCTGATGATGTTGGGAACGGACAGCCACACACCTAATGCGGGAGGGTTGGGAGCTATCGCTATCGGTGTCGGTGGTGCAGATGCTGTGGATGCATTGGTGGATGCTCCCTGGGAATTGAAGGCGCCTCGTATTCTGGGCGTGCGACTTGAGGGTAAGCTGAGCGGCTGGGCCTCTCCCAAGGATATCATTCTGCATCTGGCTGGTATGCTCACCGTCCGAGGTGGTACCGGCTATGTGATTGAGTACCATGGACCCGGTGTTGAGACGCTCAGCTGCACCGGTATGGCTACCTGTTGCAACATGGGTGCGGAGGTCGGAGCCACCACGTCGGTCTTCCCCTTCTCCCCCAGTATGGTTCCCTACCTGCAGGCGACGCACCGAGGCCATGTGGCCCAGGCGGCGGCCGAGATTGCTGCATCTGGCCCCAAGAATCTTTTGCGGGCGGACGATGGTGCAGAGTACGACCAGGTGATCACAATTGACTTGTCAACGCTGGAACCTCACGTCAACGGACCCTTCACTCCGGATCTGTCCGTGCGTCTATCTGACTTTGCCAACACCGTCCGCGAGAACAAGTGGCCAGAAGCTCTTGGTGCTGGGTTGATCGGTAGTTGCACCAACAGTTCCTACGAGGACATGACTCGCGCAGAGGACCTGGTCAAGCAGGCGTCAGCGGCTGGCCTGAAGCCAAAGGCGGACTTCTTCATCACGCCTGGCAGTGAGCAGATTCGGGCCACTCTGGACCGTGATCAGACCCTGTCTTCCTTCTCCGAGGCTGGCGGCACCGTCCTGGCCAACGCCTGCGGACCCTGCATCGGGCAGTGGAAGAGAACCGATGGTGTCACCAAGGGCGAGGACAATGCCATCTTCACCTCCTACAACCGTAACTTCCCGGGACGCAATGATGGCAACCGACGCACCATGAACTTCCTGGCGTCGCCAGAGATTGTGACCGCCCTTGCCTACTCGGGCAGCACCACCTTCAACCCCATGACGGACACTCTGAAGACCCCGAGCGGTGAAGACTTCAAGTTCCGCCCTCCCCAGGGCTCTGACCTTCCCAGTGCTGGGTTCGCCGACGGCAACCCTGCCTTCCAGCCCAGCGCTGGTGTCCCTGACGCCTCGGTCGAGGTCATTGTTTCCCCCACCTCTGAGCGTCTCGCTTTGCTGGAGCCTTTCGCTCCCTTCCCTGAGGGCGAGCTGTCGGGCTTGAAGGTCCTGTACAAAGTCAAGGGTCAGTGCACAACCGACACCATCTCCGCGGCCGGTCCGTGGTTGAAGTACAAGGGCCACCTGCCCAACATTTCCGCCAACACTCTGATCGGGGCGGTCAACGCTGCCACGGGTGAGACGAACGTTGCGTACGACGACGCTGGCAACAAGCACTCGATTCCCGACCTGGCTGCTCAGTGGAAGGCCGAGGGCATTGAATGGCTGGTGGTGGCTGAGGACAACTATGGCGAGGGTAGCGCGCGTGAGCACGCGGCGCTGCAGCCACGGTACCTGGGCGGCCGGATCATCGTGGCCAAGAGCTTCGCGCGCATCCACGAGACCAACC